CTTCAGAACAGAGGTCCTGGGAGCTGGATGGGCTCCACACTCACCTGAACGTGCATCTCATGCGTCTGCAGAGCCCCATGCTGGGGTTGCCATTGGAACCTCGTCTGTCCTTGTATTTTCTGACTGATTGGGTCCTTACCGCCCATGATGGGGTGACCCATCTTGCAGGAGTGTTTCCTGGTTTTTACTACAGTATCTGCTCAGTGCCTGTCTGAGGACCATGGCACACCATGTAGCCTGTGAGATTTGGGCCAGAAAGGGCAGTTCAGACGATATTTCACTCACTGAGACACGAGATAATGAAAATTCATTATGTACATGGAGGGGAGCAGACGGAAGTTAGAGCACCCACTCCCCGGAAGTGGTGTCTACTTGACACGGTCCATTTTAGACCCGATGACGCTGGCATTAACCAACACTCGAGAAAGCCAATGTTTCTTTCATGAAATTTTTATTTTGAAATATTTCAAATGAAGACAGAAGCAGAGCGACAAGAACAGTGAATCACACAGAATACGTTTCCCAGGCTCAACAACGATCAAGGTTTTGCAACATTTCTTTCATCTATTTTTTTTTAAACTGAAGTTTTTGGGGTTTTTTTTAATCTCAAACATCATGTCACTTCACTCCTACGTTTTATTAGGTATAATTATGCACAATCACACCTAATAAAACTAACAGTAATACCTGTGTCATTTAATATGCAGTCCATAATCAAATATAATTCTGACACGAAAGTCAGCTTCAATGCTCAGTTTTTTCATTTTAATAATAAGTGATTAGTTAGCCCTAGTTACTTTCAAAGGGGTCTTCCAGTTGCTTTGCTTGGCACAACATACTTTTGTGTTTTGGTAGCACAGCAAACTTATTTTAAAAACATATATTCAATTGATTCCATTTACTTATTTTTGTTGCTCAAAGAGCTCCAACTTTGGCCAATGGAAGCAATATTCTTAATTCATACTTATTGCATGATTATTTCCCTTTAGTAAGGATAGACTGAGTGAATAAAGAATATATAGTCTTGCACACAACTATTACTAAATTCAGTTGAAGAAGAAATAATGAACTTCTAAAACACATGATCCACAATATTGTATAATCATCATCTGAGCTTCAAAATTTTGCTAAAAAATTAAATAATTTGAATCTATAAAACAAACTGTTTAGAATACTCTTGGTTATTGTCACATTTAACCATACTAAGTTTTGCTAAGGAAACTGCAGTATTTGATGTTCAGTTAACTTTTCCCAAGAAAATGGTCAGTTTCCTTGTCTAAGTTAATGTTAGAATTTCCATTATGGCCCCTTATTTCTGCCAAACACGTTAGTCTAGACATTCATTTTCAATAACCGTTGTTTGGTAAATAACATGAAGCAAAATTCAGCACAGCTGCCTGTGTGACGGGGCCTCACATCTCACAGACGTGAAGGTGTCATTCACTTAGTCTGATCCACCCTCATCACGTGAATGTGCGAGGACTCCACTTTTAGGACGTTCAGACATCCGGTCAAATCCATCCTGGTTTCCAAATCTTCTCTGAGCAGCCGAGTGTCTAGACGTAGCACAAGATGTGGGCTACAGGAAGGTGGGGGCTGCCAGCAGGGGGAGCTTTCTCTGAAAGGCTGGGGGTGCTGGGCCCTCGGATCTGCCTGTTCCCACCAGAACGAGGAAAACCCTTTCTCAGTGGCTCTTCCAATAGCATTATCTCCTCAATAGCAATTTCAGGTGTGAGGTCAGCATGATGGACGAGGCTTAAACCCAAAATGTTAAGTCCTAGGGATCAGAAAGACGGTTCTACTGAATAATTTGAATGTTAGCCTATTCTAAAGATGCGTGGGATCTGGAGGAAAATGCCACGTCGTTTTCCATCATGGCATCTTCTGTCTGAGACAGGGTCAGGGTCAAACAGAGATATGGAGGAATCCCTCCTGCTCTTTCTGCTCATTTGCCCGACCCTATCCCTTGCTCTAAGCTCCTGGCTTCCCTTCCGTACCACGTCAAAATCGAAGTCCCTGAGACTTTCATCCTTGGCTCGATTGGCAGGAATTGCTCCATCTCTACTAGGAAAAATCTTAGGTTGTTCTTTGAGATTTGTTTCCAGTGGGAACTATTTGCAGAGCAAAACAACAACAATAAAACAACATATCTCTCGAGCTGAGTTTCAGCACGTCGAACGGTTAAATATCAACATGTTGATATGCTAAGACGATCTTCTTTCCATGGGCAAAGAGATGAAGGAATACAGTATTTGAAGGAAACTTAAAATGTCATCCAGCCTCGTAATATTCTGAAAATGGAGGGAAGAACTTCCTCTGAGTCTCGCCTCTGACTTAGTTGAAGGAGGCGCCCTCATCATTCCCCGAGCAGCAGGGCGAAATCCCAGCCGGTGGAGAGTTTGCTGTCCGGACTCTGAAAAGAGCACCAGAGAAAATGGTATTTTCTATAGTTCCAAACGGGGTAGACGCGTACCCCACTGACAAAACGGGCTATGGAGAATACACGTCCCCTTTGCAACGAAGAGCAGCAGGTAAGACAGAACCAGGTGGACCCTGCATGGGGGGCACATTCTGTTTCTGTTAACAGTCTATTCAATTCCATAAAGGTGTTAAATGTGCCTATTATATGGCAGTCTTAGTAGTAGGTCCTAAGTTGGACAAAGATAAGGTCCCTGCCTCCTATAATTAACAGTCCAGTGAGACAGACAAGTAGACCTGTATGATAAAGGGCTGAAGGCTTACAGAGAGGTATTAAAAAGAGCGGGGGCGGGGGGGAGTGAAAAGCTGGATGCACTGGAAATGGGAATGCATGGCTGTGGAGGAGGCTGGAGGCTGGGAGGACATCTGGGGAAGATAAAGAAGGGAGTTGAGAAAATAAACAAATAAATGCAGTGATAAGCATGTTCGAGCAAACCATTTCTGTCCTGTAGTCTTGAGTTTGCATCAGTGATACTCACCCTGAAGCTCACACCCAGCCCCTCCGTGTGCTTACAGAGGGCTGATGGATAGACTGCTCCCTGCTTCTGCTAGCCCCATTTTTTTTTCTTTTTAAAAAATTTTTTGGTGGAGAGGTTTATTAGGTTTATTTATTTACTTATTTTTAGAGGAGGTACTGGGGATTAAATCTTGTTAAGCACATACTCTACTACTTGAGCTTTATCCTCCCCTCCTCTGCCCCCTCCTCCCATTTCTTTTCTATTCTCCAGGTTGGAGAAGGAAACACTGGTCTTCCTCCAGGCATAGTTTCATCTGTGACACACTGTGCTGTCAATGGTGACCACACGGCAAAGCTAGAGTATAATTTCCAAACGGGCTTCTTGGAGCCGACCACTATGTTCTTGCCTCTCGCCTGCTGCCTCCAGAAAGCTGTCTACCCTTCCTGCTGCGGGTGGGGGCTGGGGTGAGGGCGAGGCTCTGATCCAGAGAAAGCCAGCCTTCCAAATGCAAAGCCTTGCTGCAGACGAGACTCTCACCCTTCGCAAACAGTTGCTTTGGAGAAATACTGCTGTCTTTCCATCACAGTTGGAATAATTAATACATTATATTCTAAGAAAATTTTCCTTTCCTTTGCAATTGAAAAAAAAAAAACCTTAACATTCTTGTTTCTCAGTTGCAGGAAGTAACTGCTTATTATTGAGATATTCCAAACAGCTCAGAATAACTGCTGGATTTTCACGCCGTTCCTAGTTCTGATCAACAGGGTCACCCTGGGATATACATTATTCGTGCGAGTAGGGTAGAGGGGACATTTTATGTTACAATATCTGAGAAACACTGCTGTGTAATCCCCGCCTCCACCTCTCTTCCTCTTTACAGGGCTGGTTTACCTAATTTCAAAGGGAAGAGAGGAATGTGTGGATACTTATGTACGTTAGAAAAACATACCACAAACATGTACCACTGAGGTTCATGGAAGTTACGCACTGTGATCAGGGGGATATTTGCTGCAGGTGTCCGACAATGTGAAAGAGCAGTGAAGAGGAGCCTGTAGAATGTGACTGGGATGGGACTGAGGGGGTGGAAAGCATGTTACATCACTGAGAGTTTGGCGAGGAAAGATGGTGGCTTGACTTTGTCACGAGAAACTGCACCCGATAAGGTCACCCTTGTTACGTGGCCTGTCGCTTGCTTGTTACGTGGTCTGCTGTGGCTGGCTTGCTATGTGGCCTGTGGCTTGCTTTGAAACATACAATTTAAGGGCATGAGAGCAGTGTAGGGCCCGTCCATCCTGCCCCCTTTGTGGGAGAAACTCATCTCCAGGATGGTTAAGAAATGGGAGTCATTCCAACCCGGACTCCAGGGCTCTTTAAACTTCACCCTATTTCTTAAGACCATTGGTAGGTGAGAAATTAAAGCACAACCATGACACTTACATTTTAACTACTGTGCAGTTTGCCAAAGCAGGATTCCACCACGTGGATGGATTCATTTGATTTTCTGATGCAAAGGCAGTTGCTTTGCATGATTAAAAGAAATGACTTATTTTCTACCACTAGGTGGCATGGTATGTTTTTTTTTTCCTGACACTTTTCTTCAAAAAGGAATCTATCCTTTTCCCTAAACACACACACACACACACACACACACACACACACACACTTCACCCATTCTTGGCAGACTCCTGTCATTTTTTACTGCTATGAAATTTGACTTGGAGTATCTCTTTGTAAAATACTTACCATCAAAGTTAAACCCATCACTTTCCACTTTTTCCATGACATGGTTTCTGTTTCACTGATGCATGTCTGTCTGTCCATTCTGTACGGGAGGAGAATCCAGGTTTGATATCTGTTCTTGCCTTTGTTTAGTTTAAATAAATGCTGGACAAAGTCTCTTCTCTTTTTGCCTCTTGGAGAGAAAAGGAGAGACAAAATTCTAGTTGATTTTTAAGTGGCCACTTATTCATGCATTCACTATATATTGGGAGCTAATTATTTAATAGCTAATTAACTAATAATTATGTGTCAGCTAACTCCTAGCTGCTTTTTTCCATCCCTCAGAACATTGGGAAGTTGATGTCAGAGCCATGAGGGGTGGCTACCAGTTTAATTGAAAGGAACCAACCATCACAGAGCTTAACTGGGAAAAAGCGGTGGAAAGACGGAGGATTCAGCAGGGAGGCAGGACTGAAAGGGAACTCAACTGCTTCACAGAGGCAGCTTTGCCATCTTCTAGATTTTCTATCATCAGGAGCTTCAGTACACGAGGCAAAAGAAAAAAAATGCCCAACACTTACTATATATATTTTTTCTTTAAAGTTTACCCGTCAACCTTATATATTACTTAATAGAATTCTTATTCCATTTTTATTCCTCTCTTTACCCTCTGCCTTAATTTTCAGCTCCATATTATTAAATGTCATAGTTTTCAAATTTTATGTACAATGTTTTACTATTTTAAACAGAAAGATTTTGTAAAAGTAAAAAATAAAAATCAACTTTGTGGAAGGTCCAGACATGTAAAAGGAAGTTGGTTCTATCTTGTTAACACACTAAAATCACTGAGGGGAGGAGGTTTTTTTTTTTTTTTAAATCACTAATGACAGAATTCACTCCTGACCAACAGACTCATGTTCATCTTTCTGGGTACTTATTTAGCCCTTCTTTTTTCCTCCATAGAGTAGCTTCTTGGGCTTCTCAGGCCAACGTGGGATTTGGTGGCTGCCCTCTGCTCCCACGTATATATGGTAGAGTCGTCACCATGATAAAGGATTAACTGAATATAACCTTCTTGGGGACAGAATCTAGTTGGCATGGTTGAACGATATCATAAACTGGTCCAATCAGCCGCAAGCTCCTGTGGTGTGACTGTGGCTTCAAAGGTCCACCCCGTATGAATGGGGGTCCACAAAAAAGGAGAATCAGGGTAGGTGGGGCAGATACCCCAAAGGTGTCTACTGCCCTGACGTGTGGTAGGGAGACCATAGATACTGAGAATACATGGATGGAAAAAAGAGTGAAGGAGTGAACCAAGAGACTGCTAATTTGTTACTAGACTAAGTGCGGGAGGGTATAGCTCAGTGGTAGAGCGTGTACTTAGCATGCGTGAGGTCCTGGGCTCAATCCCCAGTGCCTCCTCCAAGAATAAGTAAACCTAACTACAAAAAAAAAAAAAGGATAGAATGGTCTCAGAAACTCAGACTGATGGGTAGGATTTACTTTACTCACTTAGGATCTATTGTACCAGAGATGGTGCTTAGTACTGCAAGGAAAAAAAGCTGCAGGAAAGATTCTCATTCATATACAAGGAGAATACAGACACTGACAAGAAGAACACAAAATATCACGGGTATTCTGTCAACGGAGAGATCATACTTTTGGGTGTGTGAGTTAAGATAAATACCAACTACTGAGAAATCCAGACATCTCAGTGGCTAAACACAACAGATGTTTATTTCTTGCTGTGAAAATTTCAGTTGGCAGCAGAGGCTGGGGCCTGGGGAAGAAGTGGTCTCAATGTCACAGAGTCACCAGGAAGCCAGCCCCGCTACCTCCAGCAGGATGATGATGTCGTGAGTCAAATCTACCAGGCAGAAGGAGAGGGAGTACCCCTCACACAGAGGGTATCAGGACTTCTGCTGACAGCCCGCTGGTCAGGCTACCATCACATCACTGAAGAGGAGGCTGGGGAAGGCAGCCCTGCCGTGGTCGGGAGGAAGGGCAAATGCATTTGGGGACCAGCTATTGGGTGACGACCATAACAGTCCTGTAGTCATGGCAGTGGAAGGGAGGAATGATCAGAAAAAAAAAATGTGTGTAAAGAGTGCTACTATATCTCAAATAGACAAGTGTATACTGTGCAGCACAGGGAACTATATTCAATATCTTGTAGTAACCTACAGTGGGAAAGAATATGGAAACGAATCTGTGTGTGTGTGTATGTGTATGACTGAACCGTGATGCTGTGCACCAGAAATTGACACAACATTGTAAGAAAAAAAAAGAATGTTCTGTGAGATCATCTTTGAGCCATAAATCTTAACTGTTGAAAAGAAGAAAAGCTGTTTTTGTAGAAAAAGAATAGTACAGGCAAAGATCTGGAGTTGGGGGGAATACCTGTGTTTGGGGAGCGGTGAATACGGAGAAGTTGTGTGAAAGGGCAACAAACGCTGAAAAGATAGAGACCCTTATTTGGCTCTTCTTTTGAAAAAGAAAATCTGTCTATGGACCTGAGAACATCACTTTATTCTCCCCGACAATGGATTTTTGTCTGGAAATTATGCTGATAATTAAATTGTGAGGAGGAACTAAAGTTTGAAGAGAAAGTCAGAAGTAGGACTTGATTGGAAATCTCTCTCCTGGTGATATCTGGCACTCCTTTTGGGAGCTTCTGCATTCTAAACTGAAACAATCACCCGCCTTTTCTTTTTAAAATACCAAGTGGACTTGATGAACGGGTAGAAAAGCAGTACAAACTTACCAGGATGAGCGTTTAAAACAATCAAGACCAGTGTTGTTCTGTTTTCATTTTTATCCTTTGTATCATCTTATTTCAGTTGAACAAATCCATCCAACTGTATTAATACATAAATGCTATTTTTCCTTGGATGGCATTAATCTCAACCGAATATCTTAAAGAGAATAATGGGAGGGTTTTTTCCTTTTTGTACAGAATTTCTTTTAAATCAGACATCTGGTATTTGGCACTCGACTTTTATTAGACTGGTTGAGCACTTTTAAAGGGGGATAAATCATATGACTTTCATTTTAATTTTTACTGTAATGGTTTAATATAGCCAACATATGCTGAGTAACAGCATTAAAATAAAATCAGTTAAATGAAGGATTACAATCAGTCTGTGTCCAATTTTGCAAAGAGACTAATTAGAGAAAGTTTTTTCAGATCAGAGTTGCATTAGCCAGCAATTTTAAAAAATCGTAATAATATAATGAGAAATGCTCGGATTTGGGCGTATTCCTATTGAGGGAGAAAAATCAAAACAGGCGTTCACACTTTCACTCGGATTCAAGGCGGTGGGGGGAACAGAGCAGGGGAATTCTTCTGCATGACACTTTCCCCACCGCCAGAACGCATTTAGGCAAAATATTCAAGCCTTTTCAGACTTATCTATGTTAACTGGAGATACTAACTTGGAAACTGGGATGATCCGAGCTCGCCTACAGATAACGCAGATTTCTCCGCATCATGGACAGCGTTCGTTTTCAGTGCCTCATTTCACCAGCTTGGCTATGAGAACGACTTTCCATCCTCCTCCTTAAGCTTTGGCAGCCAGCTGGCCATTTTCTATGGTTCTCCTTACTGAGGTACAGAGCTGTGTTTGGAATGAAGCTGGAATTTTATTTATAGCTTTGGAATGCCTTGCTAAACGTCGCTAAATGTGGCACTTCTCTGTAACCTGGAGTGAACACTCAATCATTTCTGCAAAGAAATTGGGCAGAGGGAGGATGGAGGCACTGTTTCTTGGTCTCTCTCAGTCCTGCCAGTTATGGGTAGCAGAGATAAGAAAGCTAGATGGCTTGATCTCAGCACAGGGACCTCCATTATAAAGATTTTGGGTTCACAAATGTGACTAGTAATCCAAAGATTTTGACAAGTAATGTAACATCACACTATAAGAGATAATTTTATAACTCATAAAATAATCTGGAAAGATGCTACTCTGATTAAAAGGATAATCTTTTAATATAACATATATAATATATAATATAAAAATGTACGTACTATAATAAAAATAATAATCACTGCTCAGTGAGGGAAAAAGTCAATATACCTAATACCCATCTCAGTTTTATGAATAGAACACATACATGATACATTCATTTAATGTTTTTCAGTGAATAAGAAACGTAACTGGCTGCACTTTGCTATTTTTAGGCATTCATTATGGTCATACTTTCTTTTTTGGGGGGATGGGAAGTAATTAAGTTGATTTATTTATTTGTAGAGGAGGTACTGGGGATTGAACCCAGGACCACGTGCCTGCTAAGCACGCGCCCTACCGCTCAGCTAGTCCCTCCCCCATGATCATTTCTTTATGTTACGGAAATCTAGAACAGGACAAGCCAAGTCACGGGTTCAAATGAGCACACTCAGGGTTTAAAGAACTTACGGAAAACGGCCTTCAGAATGCAAGCAGATCGTTGCCCTCTTTATTCCCTCAAATTCTTTTCCAAAAGTCCTAGATTTCAGTGTCATTTTTACTTTCATTTTTTTTTTTTGGTTCTCTCCTTTTCTAGACAGTTGCAAGCGAAGTGAGGAATACAGAGAGAAATGGCAAGGAGTACCATAAAGAATGCTCATCTGAAGACTCCTCTTCAAACACAGTAAATCAACTATGCCCAAAGAAAGAAAGAAAGAAAGA